GAAGACAGTGGTGTAGTCGTATTACAGAATACTAACATCGAAAAACTATCGTCGAGTACGAGGAAGAGATCGATCATCAGCGCAGACTGCTGGATATCGTTTGGAAACCGGAAATAAAGCTACACAGGACAGGTCTGTGAAACCAGAATGGTCTGAATAAAAACTAACACGGATCAGAGCTCTACGCTTACTTTTACTTTTAGGGTCATTGCTGCCACGAAGAAACAACGTTGGGGCAGTTTATTATCTTATTTTTAATGAGTAAACATTCAACATCAAACGTACAGGTTGTATAAGACACAGGGGAAACTGACTGAACTAAAAGATTATAGAAGAATTGTGAAACAAAGACCAAACAAACGAAATGAATGCATCGTGCTTTGATGCGTCTCTTTTCAAACAGCCTTCAGTCAATGGCTGCCCGGTAATAATCCACCAAACCCTATTCGATGACATAGATATGTGATTTTGGGCAGTAGTGCAGCAGAGACGCAGCAGTCTTTGTTGTTGTCGTGATTGGGAGCTGGTCAGGACCAATGTGAAATAACTTCCTTTAACTTGTAGTGTTTTTATCATGTTTCCTGCTTCAGTTTTACACACAGCACTTTGTTTGCTTTGTGTGCTGCTTGTGGTTTGTTTTGCACTGCCTCTTCTACTTTTTGTGTATTTTATACACCCTTTACTTGTTCTTTAATTCAATATTTGGAAAAGTGTGTTGTGTGTGTCATGTCTTAGGATAAAATAAGACCAAACCTAGATCTGAGTTTTTAAGTCATCACATTAGTCTTGTGTCCTTTGTCCCTCCAGAGCTCCAACAGCAACATGTCTGTAAGGAGGAGGAGGTTCTCACTGACCAGCAGCTCTGTGACCAGGAGAGGAACTCCAGTGTTGGACAGCCGTTTGAAACCCGAAATAAAGCTACACAGGATAGGTCTGTAAAACCAGAATGGTCTGAATGAAAACTAACACAGGAGCTTAGTTACTCAGAGATCCCATCTTTTAATATCACATTAGAGATTAAAATATGTCTAATCGTGTGTCCCTTGTGTTTCACTGTCATTTACCATCATCAGCACATACCTACTCTTATTAATATATATGGTGATATTATGATGTGTTGATAATGTTCTACTCATAAACATGTTATCACTCCCATTTCACTGATAGAGTGACAGGCGCGATCAGACCCTTTTTAATTTCTATGTTGCTGATATTTCTCACATTTGAAGGACAAAAAATGACATGTGTAAACAAATCAGTAAATGCCAAACTGAATAATTAAATGCATGAATAAATGCAAAATAAAAACATTTTGGTGATTAAAAAAAATGCTATTTCAGTATTTTTATTCATTGATGCATTTCAATATTGATTTATTAATGTTTATATATTTGTATATATATACATGAATATATTTGTATTTTTACATTTATTTATTTATTTGTCCGAATGCCATCCATCCATCTTAGACTGAGGAAGGACCACCTACTTAATTAACATGGACACAGAAATGAACAAATGTAGAAATAAATAAATTAATGTAGTTATACATAAATGAATAAAAAAATAAATGCATAAATACAATTTGACATGCATAAATAAAAAGTAAATAAATGTTGAAATGCAGAAAGAAATACTTAAATAAATGTAGAAATGCACAATTAAATAAATGTAAAACTACAGAAATGGCATTTTCATTGTCAAAATGTTTTTATTTTTACATTTATTTATGTATTTAATTATTTATGTCAGCATTTATTTATTTTTAATTTTGTAATTTTTCGTCCTTCATACTCATGTCCCTTTGTCCCTCCAGACATCCGTCAGCAACATGTCTGTAAGGAGAAGGAGGTTCTCACTGACCAGCAGCTCTGTGACCAGAAGAGGAACTCCAGTCTGGACCAGGAGGACCCAGAGCCTCCACAGACTAAAGAGGAAGAGGAGGAACTGTGCACCAGTCAGGAGGGAGAGCAGCTTGTACTGAAGCAGGAGACTGATACCTTGATGTTGACTCCTACTAATGAGGAAAGTGAACGAAGTGAAGCAGAAGCAAACAGTGACCACCAGCTCCTCTCTCACAACTCTAACTGTAAAACTGAGACAGGTAAAAAGTCTTTAAAATGTCACATTTGTGGATAAGATTTCAAGTATAAGTACTACTGACCTTTTTCCAACAGCATCTTCACTTTCTCATCACTCTTCACAGACACACTGGTAAGTATCAGTGAAAATGGCGAATCTGTGAACAACAACATCTGGAGCACAGGAAGTGGAATATGTAAACAAAGATCACTAGTTCATGTTATAAGAAAAACATGTATGGATAAACACAGCTCACTGGTGATTTGCAGTCAGAACTGTTTGCAGTTATTTGTTTACCAACAGGGAACGAAGTGTTGTCTTCTTCATATTTATACTATATTTGAGCCCTTTCAGCCTTTTCCACTCAGTCACTTACCAGAACATGTCAGTTAAGTCTGAGGGTTCAGAGCTCAGGCCTTAGGGGGGACTTAGGTATTGGACAGACAGACCTCAATTACATGGCTGTTCCTGTAGTTATTAGCTTGTTGGGTTCAACTAACTGGGCATATTTAGTAATAAAATAATAAACAGGACAAGTGACAGGGATATGCGTTTTGACATAGTAAGAGGAGATTTTGCAGCAGTAGTGTAGCAGAGACGCAGCAGTCTTTGTTGTTGTCATGACTGGGAGCAGGTCAGGACCACTGTGTGTATAACTTCTTTTAACGTTTAGTGTTGTTATCCTGTTTCCTGATTCCGTCTTACACAAAGCACTTTGTTTGCTTTGTGTGCTTCTTGTGGATTCTTTTGCAGTGTCTCTATTGTATTTTTTATGGATTTTATACTTTCTTCGTTTATTTCTTTTATTGAATATTTGGATGTTTGTTATGTGTGACTTTAAGGACAAAGTAAGACCAAACAGAACTGAGTTTTTCCATCATCACATTAGCCATTTTCCTTTTTTCTTTCTTTTTTTTTTATATTTTTGCCTTTATTAATGATAGTAGAGTGAAAGATAGACAGGAAAGTCAGGGAGAGATGAGCCACTGAGGTGCCCCAGTAACCTATTTCTCATGTCCCTTTGTCCCTCCAGAGCTCCGACAGCAACATGTCTGTAAGGAGGAAGAGATTCTCACAGACCAGCAGCTATGTAAACAGGAGGATCCAGAGCCTCCACAAATTAAAGAGGAAGAGGAAGAACTCTGTACCAGTCAGGAGGGAGAGCAGCTTGTACTGAAGCAAGAGGTTGATACCTTTATATTGATTCCTACTAATGAAGAAAATGACCGAAGTGAACCAGAAGCAAACAGTGACCACCAGTTCCTATCTCACAACACTCCTGCAGCTGAGAGTCAAGATCAGAAAGGAAGCAAGGATGTAGACCCAGAATCAAAGAGTCACTGTAACACTCAGACTGGTAAAAACTCTTTCAAATGTCACACTTGTGGAACAGTTTTTAAAAATAAGTATGATTTGAAAATACATCATAGACGCCACACAGGTGAGAGGCCATATTCTTGTAGCACCTGTGGGAAAAAATTCAGTCGGACATCAACATTGAAAGATCATTTAAGAACTCACACAGGTGAGAGGCCATATTCTTGTGACACCTGTGGGAAAAAATTTAGCCGAACATCGAGACTGAAAAATCATCTAAGAACTCACACAGGTGAGAAGCCATATTTTTGTGAAACATGTGGGAAAAGTCTCAGATCAAGCAAAGGCCTGGTGGTCCACATGAGAACCCACACAGGGGAGAAGCCTTACACCTGCAACACCTGTGGGAAAAAATTTAGTAACAAGTCAGACTTGAGTAAACATACAAGAACCCACACAGGTGAGAAGCCATATTCTTGTGAAATATGTGGGAAAGGTTTCACTACTCGTACAGTCTTGTTGGTTCATGTGAGAATTCACACAGGCGAGAAGCCTTATTTTTGTGAAACATGTGGGAAAGATTTCAGAACTTGTTCTGAATCATTGGTCCACATGAGAACCCATACAGGTGAAAAGCCGTACACATGCAACACCTGTGGGAAAAAATTCAGTAACAAGTCCGACTTGAGTACGCATAAAAGAACACACACAGATGAGAAGCCTTATTGTTGTGAAGCATGTGGGAAAGGTTTCAGAACTAGTTCAGTCTTGTTGGTCCACAAGAGAATCCACACAGGTGAGAAGCCGTATTCTTGTGAAACATGTGGGAAAGATTTCAGAACTTCTTACGAATCCTTGGTACATATGAGAACCCACACAGGTGAGAAGCCGTACACCTGCAACACCTGTGGGAAAAAATTTAGTAACAAGTCAGACTTGAGTAAGCATACAAGAACCCACACAGGTGAGAAGCCATATAACTGCAACACCTGTGGGAAAAAATTTAGTAACAAGTATGACTTGAGTAAACATTCAAGAACCCATACAGGTGAGAAGCCATATTTTTGTGAAATGTGTGGGAAAGGTTACTCTACTCGTACAGTGTTGTCGGTCCACATGAGAATCCACACAGGTGAGAAACCGTATTCTTGTGAAACATGTGGGAAAAATTTCAGAACTTCTTCTGAATCCATGGTCCATATGAGAACCCACACAGGTGAAAAGCCATACACATGCAAAACCTGTGGGAAAAAATTTACAAACAAGTCAGACTTGAGTAAACACACGAGAACCCACACAGGTGAGAAGCCATATCCTTGTACCACTTGTGGGGAAAAATTCAGTCAGATATCAATATTGAAAAATCATTTAAGAACTCACACAAATGAGAAGCCATATTTTTGCGAAACATGTGGGAAAAGTCTCAGATCAAGTAAAGGCCTGTTGATCCACATGAAAACTCACACAAGGGAGAAGCCGTACACCTGCACCACTTGTTGGAAAAAATTTAGTAACAAGTCTACCTTGAGTAAGCATACAAAAACACACATAGACCAGAAGCTGTATTTTTGTGAAACGTGTGGGAAAGGTTTCACTACTCGTACCCTCTTATTGGTCCACATGAGAACCCACACAGGTGAGAAGCCGTACCCCTGTGACATCTGTGGGAAAAGGTTCAGTCAGAAGACAAACTTAGCAAGACATGTAACAATCCATTCAAATAAAAAGTAATGTACTCACCGAACATATGGGGGAGCCTTCAGACATGAAGAGAAATGGAGAAATGAGCTTGGAAAAATCTTGGTGTTACAGTGGCTGCACAGTGTCTAAGAATGTAAACGACTGAACTCTTTGATATTATTAATTTGAATATTTCCTTACTCTACCATAGTTATTTGAGTGGATCATAAGTCTGTACTATCAGGTGAGAAACCCTCAAGTGCTGTTGTGTCACATATGTGGTCCTCTTTCTACTTACTTCAAAGTCTTTTTGTCTAGTGCATGTCCCTTCATTTTATATTTTTAATAATTTTGTGATTGAATCAGTTTGATGTAATTTGTATTTTCTCATCTTTTAGAGGTGACGCAAAAACACAAGTTGTAGAAGATGAACTACATTGTTTTGTGAAAGGTGCTATATAAATAAACTGACTTTTGGCAAGAAATTTTAATAATGAATTATTTCCTTCAGTGCTGGTTATTCAGGCTGATCTCACATTGACAGATCGGCTTGAAGGATTTCAATTGTCATCAGCCTAAGTGGTAGTACTGTATACATGGATAAATGCTGAAAAGAACGTGGCCAACAAATGCTTCTTCGCTGATCTCATGTACTTATTCTAACAGTAAAGCTTTGTATGGTGATAATGTAAGAATGCCAGATCCACAAGTCTAAATCTACAAGGACACTGCTCATCAAGGCTACAGACAGGAGTGATGCAGATGCACTGTCTCCCCTTCAGATATGTCTTGAAGATACTACGTTGTTTAAAGTCTACCAGCTGATATCCGCCTCATGTCAGAGTCAGGTTGTCCAGGACACAAGAGGGGGTCATCGGTCAGATACAAGCTGAGGGTTCCAGGGAAAAAGTGAAAAAGAGCCATCTTGAACCCACACAGTACACTTTTCTCTGTCTATACTTGAATATGTTCGCAATTTCTTCCAACCGTCAGTGTCATAGAAATGTGTCTCTGTTGCAACAGTTTCATCTGGAGGTGTTCCAGGTAAGAGGAAGAGGCAGGTTCACCTGGATACCCTTGTAGACGGTGAGCGAAGCCACTTGAGGTCGGTCACAGGACTTAATTGATATAAGGTCTCAAGAATATTAATGCATGTCTAGATTTACTTTACTTAACAGCTATAGTTACATTCATCATCATGGCCCCAGCAACACAGGGAGGGGCCATTGTAAATGAGTACTTCAACTTTCATACTTTAAATTACATTTTACGGAAAGTCATTTCATAACTTCTAGCCCTGCCGATGTGTATACAAAATAAGTGTTTTAAAAAAAAAATAGCTTTAAACCAAAACATCAGTTAAAGGTGGTCCTACACAAAATACCTTATTTCTCTGTGAAATTATGTGACACATATGTACAATCATAACCGAAGTTGGGGGAAAAAAACTAACTCACGTCCACTGCCGGACTTTCACAGTGTGACACCAAGCAGAAGCAAAAATTGAAAGCGCGCGAGCAGCGTTAGCTGTTTAGGTCTAGACGTGTGTGGAGTTAGCTTGAAGACGAGTCGTATCGCAGATAAATATTTCAGTGGTAATGAAGCAACAATGTCTTCAGTTCAGTATCTGAGAGAGTTTGTGAACGAGCGACTAACTGCTGCTGCTGAAGAAATATTCGGAGTCTTTGAAAAAACTATCGTCGAGTACGAGGAAGAGATCGATCGTCAGCGCAGACTGCTGGATATCGTTTTGAAACCGGAAATAAAGCTACACAGGACAGGTCTGTGAAACCAGAATGGTCTGAATGAAAACTAACACAGGGACATGACTCATACTGGATCCTGATCAGAGCTCTACTTTCATTTAATTTTGAGTTTTCACTGTGTCACATGAAGGAAAAACTTTGGGGCACTTATGTTAAATAAAGAAATAACATGACTGAGTCTCTATTTTTAATCAGTAAACATTCAGCATCAAACAAACAGGTTGTATAAGACACAGGGGAAACTGACTGAACTAAAAGATTATAGAAGAATTGTGAAACAAAGACCAAACGAAGGAAATAAATGCATTGTGCGTTAATGCGTCTCTTTTCAAACAGCCTTCAGTCAATGGCTGCCCGGTAATAATCGACCAGACGTTAGTCGATGACGCAGAATTATGTTTTGACATGGAAAGATGAGATTTTTGGGCAGTAGTGCAGCAGAGACGCAGCAGTCTTTGTTGTCGTCGTCATTGGGAGCTGGTCAGGACCACTGTGAAATAACTTCTTTTAACTTTTAGTGTTTTTATCCTGTTTCCTGCTTCAGTTTTACACACAGCACTTTGTTTGCTTTGTGTGCTGCTTGTGGTTTGTTTTAAACCGTCTCTATTGTACTTTTTGTGAAATTTATACTTTCTTCATTAATTTCTTTTATTGCATATTTCAGCAAGTTTGTCATGTGTGAGTCATCTTAGGACAAAATCGGACTAAACCGAGATCTGAGCTTTTCTATCATCACATTATTAACCAATTCTTGTCTCCCTTTTTCCCTCCAGAGCTCCCACAGCAACATGTCTGTAAGGAGGAGGAGGTTCTCACTGACCAGCAGCTCTGTGACCAGGAGAGGAACTCCAGTCTGGACCAGTAGGACCCAGAGCCTCCACAGATTAAAGAGGAAGAGGAGGAACTCTGCACCAGTCAGGAGGGAGAGCAGCTTGTACTGACGCAGGAGACTGAGACCTTTATGTTGACTCCTACTAATAAGAGAAGTTACCACAGTGAACCAGAAGCAAACAGTGACCACCAGCTCCTCTCTCACAACACTCCTGTAGCTGACAGCCAAGATCAGAAAAGAAGTAAGCGTGCAGATTCAGTGTCAAAGAGTCACTGTAACACTCAGACATGTAAAAATCTTTAAAATGTGACACCTGTGGAAAATATTTTAAGAATAAGTTCAATTTGAAAATACATTAGAGAATCCACACAGGTGAGAACCTGCGACACCTGTGGGAAAACATTTAGCAACCACTCAGACTTGATTAAGCACACAAGAACCCACACAGGTGAGAAGCCATACCACTGTCACATCTGTGGAAAAAGGTTCAGTCAGAAGACAAACTTAGTAAGACATGTAATAATCCATACAAATAAAAAAATAATGTACCCAATGAACATGTGGGAGAGTCCAAATTAGAAGAGCCTTGGAAAACTGATTTTGGAAAAATCTTTTACAGTGAGTGAATAGTTTCTAAGAATATAAATGACTGAATTATTTAATACTATTAATTTTGATATTTTTATACTCTACCACAGTTATGAGTCAGCTTAAGTCTAATGTTGAGAAACCTTCAAACGCTGTTGTGTCACTTATGTGGTCATCTTACCAACTAGTTCTTTTTGTCTAGAGAATGTCCTTGTGTATTTTTAATAATTTTATGATTTAATCAATTTGATGTAATTTGTATTTTCTCATGTTTTAAAGGTGAAACAAAAACACAAGTTGTAGAAGATGAACTACATTGTTTTATAAAAGGTGCTATATAAATAAACTGACTTTCGTCAAGAAATTTTAGTAATGAATTATTTCCTTCAGTGCTGGTTATTCAGACTAATCTCACAGTGATAGATCAGATTGAAGGACTTTAATTGTTGTCAGCCTAAGTGGTAGTACTGTATACATCGATCGATGCTGAATGGAATATGGGCAACAAATTCTTCCTCACTGATCTCATGTATTTATTCTAACAGTCAAGCTTTACAGTGTAAAAGACCGGATGACCTGCACCGCATGTCACAAGCAGGTTGTACAGGACACAAGGGGAGTCATCAATCACATACGCCTTACGATTCAAAGTAAAGAGCCATCTTGAACCTATACAGCACACTTTTCTAAGTCTATGCTTGAATCCCTTCACAAATTCAGCCTTCCTTACCCCGTCGAGGGTTAAGGAAATTTTGACTTTGTTGGAACAGATGTACAATTATAACTAAAGTCAGAAATACAAGCTAACTCATGTCCTCTGCCGGAACTTCACAGTGTGACTCCCAGCAGAATTACACAATGAAAGTGCGCGGGTAGCATTAGCTCTATGAATATGTGCAAATAGTAACATGTCTGTAAGGAAGAGGAGGTTCTCACTGACCAGCAGCTCTGTGACCAGGAGAGGAACTCCAGTCTGGACCAGGAGGACCCAGAGCCTCCACAGATTAAAGAGGAAGAGGAGGAACTCTGCACCAGTGAGGAGGGAGAGCAGCTTGTACTGAAGCAGGAGACTGATACCTTTATGTTGACTCCTACTAATGAAACGGACCCCAGTGAACCAGAACCAAGCGATGACCAGCAGCTCCTCTCTCAAAACTCTCCTGTAGCTGAGAGCCAAAGTCAGAAAGGAAGTAAGCATGTAGACCAAAAATCAAAGAATTACTGTAACACTATGACAGGTAAAAAGTCATTAAAATGTGAGACTTGTGGAGAAGATTTTAAGAATAAGTCCAATTCGAGCTTTTTTGGACCTTTACAAGGACTGATGAAAACTTGGCTCTCAGCACCAGTGACTGAGCAGGACACCCCCTCCCTTTCTACTGTGAACTGAATTTTTCACTTCCGTATGTGTGAGTTAGAATTTTGTTTATTTATTTGTTTTTCTTTTGATTGCTCAGTACATTTCTTCTTTATGCACCATGTTTCATGATATCTATGCCAGAACCAGTAGCTGTACCACCAACCCTGTATTAATGTCATTTAATTTCAATAAAATTTTGAATAACAAAAAAAAAGAATAAGTCCAATTTGAAAATACATCAGAGACACCACACAAGAGAGAGGCCGTATTGTAGCACATGTGGGGACAAATTCAGTCGGACATCAACATTGAGAAATCATTTAAGAACTCACACAGATGTGAAGCAACACACCTGCAACACCAGTGGGGAAAAAAATTAGTAACAGCTCAGACTTGAGTAAGTATTCAAGAACGCACACAGTAGCCTTTGAAAAAACTATTGTGTACAAGGCTGACATTGATCGTCAGCGCAGACTGTTGGATATCGTTCTGAGACCCGACATACAACTACACAGGACAGGTCTGTGAAACCAGAATGGTCTGAATGAAAACTAACAAAGTATGACTCATATAGGATCCTAATCAGAGCTTTATGCTTCCATTTAGCTTTGGGGTCACTGCTGCACATGAATGAAAAACTTTGGGGCAGCTTTATTTTTTTATAATCAAATAATGTGACAGAGTCCTCATATTTAATTAGTAAACACTTAACATCAAACATACTGGTTGTATAAGACACAGGGGAAACTGACTGAGCTTAAAGATTATAGAAGAATTGTGAAACCAAGAGCAAACAAAGGAAATTAATGCATCGTGCTATAATGCATCTCTTTTCAAACAGTCTTCAGTCAATGGCTGCCTGATAATAATCGACCAAACATTAGTTGATGACACAGATATGTGTTTTGACATGGAAAGATGAGATTTTTGGGCAGTAGTGCAGCAGAGACGCAGCAGTCTTTGTTGTTGTCGTGATTGGGAGCTGGTCAGGACCACTGTGAAATAACTTCTTTTAACTTGTAGTGTTTTTATCCTGTTTCCTGCTTCAGTTTTACACACAGGACTTTGTTTGCTTTGTGTGCTGCTTGTGGTTTGTTTTAAACTGTTTCTATTGTACTCTTTGTGAATTTTATACTTTCTTTATTAATATCTTTTATTGAATGTTTGGAGAAGTTTGTTACATGAGTTGTCTTAGGACAAAATAAGACCAAACCAAAACTAGAGTTTTTCCAGCATCACATTAGTAACCTATTTCTAATGTCCCTTTGTCCCTCCAGAGCTCCCACAGCAACATGTCTGTAAGGAGGAGGAGGTTCTCACTGACCAGCAGCTTTGTGGCCAGGAGAGGAACTCCAGTCTGGACGAGGAGGACCCAGAGCCTCCACAGATTAAAGAGGAAGAGGAGGAACTCTGCACCAGTCAGGAGGGAGAGCAGCTTGTACTGAAGCAGGAGACTGAGACCTTGATGTTGACTCCTACTAATGAGGAAAGTGACCACCAGCTCCTCTCTCACAACTCTCCTGTAGCTGAGAGCCAAGATAAGAAAAGAAGTAAGCATGCAGACTCAGAGTCAAAGAGTCACTGTAACACTCAGACATGTAAAAAGTCTTTAAAATGTGACACCTGTGGAAAATATTTTAAGAATAAGTCCAATTTGAAAATACATCAGAGATGCCACACAGGTGAGAAGCCCTACACCTGCGACACCTGTGGTAAAAAATTCAGTCGGACATCAACATTGAAAGATCATTTAAGAACTCATACAGGTGAGAAGCCTTACACCTGCGACACCTGTGGGAAAAATTTTAGTAACAAGTCAGACATGAATAAGCATACAAGAACCCACACTGATGAGAAGCCATATTTTTGTAAAATATGTGGGAAAGGTTTAACTACTCGTACAGTATTGTTGGTGCACATGAGAATCCATACAGGTGAGAAGCCATACAACTGCAACATCTGTGGGAAAAA